TTTTAAGTAATCTATACCCAACATGGGGCTCAAACCCACAACCCCAAGATTGAGAGTCTGAGAGTCTGTGATGTACTGAATGGGCCAGCCAGGTGCCCCACAGCAAAACAAATTTCAATGACTAGGTGTTGGCAAAAGTGAGGGAGAATAGGCAGTCTCCTGCATCATGGGGATGTACATTTTTATAACTTTTTTGGAGAGTACTTTGCTAATATAACAATTAAAAACATTCTTTTGGATCTGATGGCTCCACTTATAGGGGTTTATTTATTTATTTTTTAATTTTTTTAATGTTTTGTTTTTTGAGAGAAAGAGACAGAATGCAAGCGGGGGAGGGGCAGAGAGAGGGAGACACAGATTCTGAAATAGGCTCCGGGCTCTGAGCTGTCAGCCTGGAGCCTGATGCGGGGCTCGAACCCATGAACATGAGGTCATGACCTGAGCCAAAGTGGGAAGCTTAACTGACTGAGCCACCCAGGCACCCCTCCACTTACAGGAATTTAAAAAATTTTACATATATATAAGGATATGTACTGTGACATTATAATACAATAAAACTTGGAAGCTACCTAGTGTGCATCAGCAAGGAACTAGTTAAGTTACAGTGCGTTAATTCATTGAAATATTTATAGAGCCAGTAAAAAATGAGAATTATATGTGCCAAGAGGTGATATGGAAAGATCTCCAAGATATACTATTGAGTAGGAACAAAACCCCCAAGGTGCAGAACATTTGTGTGAAAGTGCAAAAGAGGATGTATTTATACATTATTTATTTTCTGGGAAAATATATAGCAAACTTAACCTCTGGGTTTTCTTCTGTACTTTCAGTTGTTTTTTTCTTTTTAACCCAGATACAAACGATACTTTTTTTCATTCCTTTTATGATCATAACAGTAAAAGATTGGGGGAATTCTAACATTTAAGGGGTAGAGGAGGAAGACTCAGCACAAAAGAGAAAGAATGACTGAAGATACAAGACAGTGATGGTGGAAGGAGGGAGGAAAGCACTTTGCAGGAACAGTCAACAATGCCAAATGCTGCCTTAGGGAGTGAAGTTAAATAAGGACAGAAAAGGGTTCATTGGTTTTGTCAGTTAGTAGTTCATTGAAACTATTTCAAGAGTAGTTTTGGTCAGATGGTGGGGAGTGGAGGCCACATTGGAGTGGGTTGAGTAAATGGAGGGTGAGGAAGTGGCTACAGCATTTCAGGCCAACATCTGAAGGGAATTTCTAGGATGGGCAGTTTTTGTATTTATATGCTTAAAAGAAGATTGCCAACAGGGAAAGTGAATACACTTTGTAACTACTGTTTAAATAAATCATTTGTGGGGTTCTGGGTGGCTCAGTGGGTTAAGTGTCTGACTTCAGCTCAGGTCATGATCTCATGGTCCCTGAGTTCCAGCCCCACGTCGGGCTCTGTGCTGACAACTAACTCAGCCTGGAGTCTGCTTCGGATTCTGCGTCTCCCTCTCTCTCTGCCTCTCCGCTGCTCGCACTCTGTCTCTCTCAAAAATAAATAAACATCAAAAAAAATTTTAAGTAAATCATTTGTGAAGGAGGGACTACTTCTCTGATTTGGTGTTCTAGTCTTTT